TCTTCTCTTCTCTTCTCTTCTCTTCTCTTCTCTTCTCTTCTCTTCTCTTCCCTGGCTAGTGTGGTATGATTTCATAATCTAACTCCTTTCTTTTTTAATGAGTAGCATCTACCTGCCCGACTTGCAGATAATGTGCTTGCAGAACCCATTACTCAGCTCTAATGCAGCTCTGAGTCTAAAGCTAACAGTAGGAGGAGATGCCTCAGGAAAGCAGGATCTACCTTCATCAGCTTCCTTCAGGGTTGTGGCCAGCCACTAGACACTTGTCTGGATAAGGAAATTAGCCTTTTGAAGTCTTTGTTTTGGGGATAGGCAGAAACTAAGCAGAGGCAATGATATAAACAGGTGTATATTTGAGAGCAGCTTCACAATAAAAATGAAAAAATTAAAGACCTCAATGATCTGGAGTAATGGCAACAGCAATTACCAGCTGATTACCTTGCTGATAAATTACCATGACAATAAAATCCTCTGACTACATGAGTTTCTGAGAAATGGCGTTGTGACCCACACTTCCTTTGGAAAGGTTTTATTGTATTCCACCGAAAAAGAAGTGATTCAGTCTGAGAACTGACGAGTCCAGCATGGATACACAATTCTCTGTACAAGCCGAGACTTCAGAGAAAAGTCCCCAGAACTGGCACAGCAGAGAAAAACTGAAGGCTGCCACTGAACTCATACAAAAAACATGCTACCCAAGGCTAGACACCAACATGAAAAATGCACACAGCAATAATTATAAACAACAAATGACTTTTGTTGAATTACTGCCATATCAGAGTTCTAGATGGTGCTTTATAGGAGATCAGTTTCAGAAATATTCCAAATAGCAAGCTTGGATTCATAGCAGTCACTTGTCTCTGCTTAAAGCAAATTTTTTATTTCGGCTTCCCTAACATTTTGATTCAAAATAATCCTACAGTACTTCATGAAAAAATACCTCAACTGAAATTTCATTTTGTTTATATTATTATACATAAACAATTTCTGCTTAAGGACAGTTCAGATCATTTTATTCCAAGACCTTTCAGCCCTAAATCCTTACTGTATTTTAAATCAGTAACAGGATCACCTCCTTTTTTTTCTCCCTTTTCCATATCCTAATACAGAATGATGACTTAACATTACTTTCTTACTTTAGCTACTATCATATTGGACTGTCTCGTCCCTTTTCCTTTTCAAACCTCACCTAGACAATGTCATGGCTCTGAGAATCCAACCAGAGGTAAAGAACTGGATAGTACAGATAGAGCTGGCAGAGCCAGAGGCCCCTAGGAAAAGGAGCCCAGACAAGTATTGACTTACAGCCACTCCCATCTATTGAACTGTCAAACCAACACAGCATTAAAACAGGTTCCTTCTGAAAACAGCTTTCTAATCCACCTTTGGATCTTTCTACTTATTTACTAGTGATCTCCTGACTAATGTTTACTGGTTATCTCTTGACACATAAACATCCTAAAAATCCTGAACTCAACAAAAAATGGATTTGCTGGACCCTCTGACATCCTCTTCCTCTCCAAGCCTTTCTCCTGCCCTCAATTATTCTGCTGTCACATATCAGAATAAACTCTCTAGCATCACCCCATGCTGCACTTAGACTGAAGAAACAGCTCTCAGCATCAGAGAAGTGAAACAGCTTTATAACTTCACAACTTCATGATTTATATCATGGCAGATTTTCTTTTAATCATTTAAATGCTTTGTGTGTTTGTTTGTTTGTTCAGTGCTGGGAAAGCAAGAGGCACTGTATCATTTTCTCATAGCAAAGAAAAAATGGCAACTGAAAAAGTACAGCTGCTTCCATTTAACAGCTGCCGGAACAGGTGGGATACACAGATCAGATTAGCCCCATTCTTCAGTACCAAATTCACCTACCATTAAATCCCAGGCTGGAGCAACAAATCCATTTGTTTTCATTCAATGCACCCCTTTATCTCCTTTCCTGGAGTTACCTGGTGATGTTTTCCATCAACTCCTGCTGCATGGACCCGAGGTTTCTATGCTGTCCCCCAAGTCCCACCGCTCTCCCCCATCACCACTCATGCACGGGGAATGCCAGTCCCACTTCCCAGCCCGCAGGAGCCAGGGAAACTCATCACCCGAGCTCCAGCACTGCTGAAATGCACTGGCAAACACCACGGGCTGCTCTGCCCGACAAAAAAGCTCTGAAGGCCGGAAAAGGCGGCGGGGGTAGGGCTCACTGGCTGCTTTAAATGACCTAATGCTGCCAATTAGGAAGCAGCTTTGGGCATTTCAGAGGGACACTGGCAGCTGGCTCAAGTCGACAAGCAAAGAAAATCAGGAGAGCCCTGTTGTACCCGCTGGCTCCACATTAGTAAAAATAAAGGGGAAAAGCAAAGGAGTAGCACCAGAGAAATAAACCCTCATGCTCACATGGAAGCTTATAACTTGAAGATGAAGTAATCCAAATAGCTTCCCCCCCCAATTCATTTCTTCTCCAGTGAGGATCTGCATGCTAGAAATTCTTCTGCACCAATTCATAGGAGACGATGCTCTGTTCTTACCGCCAGTGTCAGACAAGCAACATGTATTTGAATTGGAAGCTTTTATATGTAACAAATTTTTTATTTCTCACAGAAGAAAAACCTCAAACACTTCCTCTCCAACATAAGCCTCCAGCTCTTACTTCCTTTCCTTTGCTGATGACGTGACAGAGACACGCCTACAAAGAAAAAACTAAAAAGTAGGAAACAATTGATTTTTCCTACCTGTAACAGGCTCAGCTCCTTGCACTGCCAGGCTGACATTCTTCTTCTTTGTTGAGGAACCTAAATCCATCTGTCTATCAAGGCTGGCTCCAGCATCCGCTGCAGCCTGAGGCTCAAGCCCCACTTTTTCTGTGGCAGGTACTTCATGGGAACAAGGTGTCTCTGCTGCAAAAACCACTGCATCAAAACTTTTTACCATTTTAGGAACTTTATCCAGGGAAGAGGCATCATTAGCCGATACCAAACTCTTCACTCCCACATTTTCCAGTGACTCAACAGCCTGTAAGCGGCAGGAACACGGCGAGAAGAAGGGCACTGCAGGTACAGCATGGCTTTGGTTTCCATGGGGCTCAGCCAAGCCCTCCCCCTGAGGCACTGTCAGGGCAGGGGCAGTGTCGCTGTCGCCGGCAGGACAGACGGTGTCGGTGCTGGAGTCGCTGTCACACGTGGGCTCCTCTGCGATGGGCTGGAGCGCTGCCCGGGGCAGCACGCTGTCCGTGCCCTCCTGCTCCTCGGGGTACACGGCAGCAGGGGATACTGGCACCGGCCTTGGCACCTCCTCACCATCACAGGCATCACTCAGGGCTCCTTCCTCTGAGGCATCCTTTAACTCGGGGGTGCTGCTGTGGGGGCAGACTGGTTGTAGGGTTTGAGTGGGATCTTCTTCTTGGTTCAGCCCAGCATTTGGACAAGGGTCACTCTCTGCACCCAGTGACTCATCTGCTGATGCAGGTCCATGCATGGCGCCTTCTGCTGCAACTGCTGCTCCAGCCTTGCAATCTTCTTCGGGTTGGACTGCTGCTTTCAGCCCAGCATCCACATTGCTGCTGCCCACCACAGGACCCCCCAGACTGCAGGCACAGGGTTTCACAGCAGCAGCAAGAAGTTCCTCCGACACAACAGGCTCATTGCCATTCACAGGAGACCCCTGCCCGGGCTCAGCTTGGCCTCCTTCAACCTGTTGTGAGTGGCCCTGCTCTGGGGAGCCCTCGTCCCCAGCATGGTGCCCAGGCCGGGCAGCAGCTACCCCGCCATGCTCCCCACCGTGCTGCCAGGCGAGCTCTGCCGAGCCTGCCCTGGCTGCTGCTGCTTCCTGGTTTTGTTTAGATTCCTCATTATGAGTTGCAGAGGGTGTGCCTATTAAATTATCCTCGGCACCGTCTGCGCCCTTGGCACATGGAGCTGATCCAGGGTCATTACCTTGCAGAGCTGCCTCCTGCCCGGGAGGTGCCAGTGCAGCATCTCCCTCCTGACTCACAGCCAGCCCCTCTTCTCTGGGTAGGGGAGAGGGCGATTCCACCTTGCTGCTCCTCCCCTCCTGCTCTGAAGTGCTTTCTGCTTTCTCTGCTCCAGCCTGGGCAGGCTCTTCCTCTGCCAGGCTTGTGCTCACATCCTCTGGAGGGAGCGATGCAGGCTCACGTTCCTCACGTTTGCTCTGCTGAGCAGTGTCTGGTTTGAAGCTGTTGTCCATTTCACCTTTAATGCCAGTTTGAGCAGCAGAAGGGTGACAGGCAGCAACTTCCTGATCACCGCCTGCAGAATCTTTGCTTCCTTCATCTCTGCAGCTGCTGGTATCAGTTCCTACTGGCTCTTTTTCACTGCTCTCCATGGCTTCAGCCCCATGGTCAACGATCTCACCACTCTCCTGGCAATGTGCAGGTTCTGCACCACTTTCATTAGATCCACCAACATCTCTGTTTTCAGGTTCAGCATCAGGGCCATCAGTTTCCACACTGCCTTCCAGTGAGGGCAGACTGGATTTTCCATCTGTACAGCCTCCTTCCACCTGCCCTTCTTGCTCCTCACTCTCACTGCTGCCACAGACTTCCAAATCAAGAGCAGGTTTTGATGCACAAGCAGGAACCTTCACCCCGTTCACTGCTGGCAATGTTTCTCCAGTGCTTGCAGTGACCTGCCTCGCTGTGACACTGGCATCACCCTGGCTTCCCGTGAGCTCACCATTTACCTGAGCAGTGCACGAGTCCACATCAGTCTCTTTGTTACTGCTGGTCTTGCAAAGGTCAACAGAGACACTGCCAATGTCACCATCTGCCTTTGCACTGTCACAGGCTGGTACCACTCCCACATTTGCATCCTCCCCATTGGAACACTCAGCGCCGTTGAAACCACTGAGTAAGGGCTGAGCAGCGCTGGATGACTCTTCCTTAGCTGGGCATTTGTCTTCCAGGTTTGCAGTCCTCTCACCAGGCTCTGCCATGCCATCCTCTGCCCGCCGCTGGCCCTTAGCCCTGTCAGGTGCCCCGGCACAGTTCCTGCACTCAGTCTGGCCCATGGCCACATCCAGACCCTCTGAGGAAGCTGGGGCTTCACCTGCAGCTGCAGCCACAGCAGCGGCACTGTCAGCGAACTCCTCAGCAGTTTGCGCTTCCTGATGGGCACTGTCTGCACTGCCCACGCCAGCTTGATCCAGAACAACTCCAGCCGATGTCATTCCAGCTTCCTCATTTGTATTTCCAGAGGATGGAAGATTTACAGCACCATTTGCACTTGCACGCAGGCTCACAGTGCAATCTCCATCTGATACAGTCCCAGAGCCCTCTGCAGATCTTAGCCCCGCCTCTCCTTCCTTTTTACACAATATCACTGTGTTTTTACTTTCACAGAAGCTCGCTGGGCTGTTTGCACCACCCAGGCTAACTGTGTCTTTTGGTGCGTCATTAAAAGCTCCCAGTCTGCTGCTGTTGCATTTCTCCTCCTGCTGGGATTGGTCTGAGAGCTGCCCAAGGTCCAGGTGAACCAGACCAGGTGGATTTTCCTGCCTTTCTTCTCTTGCCATTTCTTCTAGGCTCTGAGAGGTAGTGGTCAGATGACCCTCTGCTCCTTTAGCACAGCTGTCTTCAGAATCTCCCAGTACAGGCTCTGTCTGCTGGCTTAAACTCTGAAACAAGACACAAAAGAGAAAAAGAAACCCCTTTATTCTGTCATGCAGTTACTCAAGACCTGTATCTACCTAATTTTATTCAACATGAATCCTATTCCTGGTGTTATCCAGGAGAGAGCAAACACAGTAGTGGTTATTCCACATGTAGGTTTTATTACCAGGAGGTAATATTGAAATTATTAGAATGAAAGAAACATTGGTTGAAAAGAACATCTAAAGGTCATCTAGTCCAACCACCTGCCTGAAACTGGCCTACTGCCACTGCAGCATCAGGTCAACCATGACTTTCTTTATCTTGCCAAACCTCCAAGGATGGAGTACCCACAGCCTCTCTGGACAATCTGCTCCCATGCCACACCACCCTCCCACGAAGATTTTTCCCTAAAGCCAGCCTGAACAGCCCAAAGCTGAAATTTGTCTCTCTACCCCTCTGCTACACCATCTGCCATCACGGAAAAGAAGAGTAATCTTGGTAATTGCTCTTTGAGAAGCTGTAGTCTCAGTTCTTGAGTGCACTTGAACTCAAGATCAGTAAAGAGCAGAACTCAGTCTACCAAATAATGCAAATATATACCAGCCTAGTCCCAGAGGACTTCAAGAAAATGCTGCTAAACAGCACCTTCAGATCCCTACCCAGCATACCCCAGCTCTTGCCAGTATTCCTCAATTCTCTCTCTATAAATGGAAATGCTACTTCAGACATGGGCATTGGCTGGCAATGTCCAAACACACCGTCTCCTGCTCCCAGGACTGAACTAATAATCTAATCTATTCCTGAGAACTGCAGGCATAATTAAATATCTGAAATTTATTTCCTAACTGGAAATAAAAATTTCAAAATCATGACATATTATTAAAATTAATACATGCATTATCATGGAACAGTAGGATCTTAATCAATTCCTCTCTAATCAGTGTTTTCCTTCCAGAGCACCTGCTTTGTCAAGCTTTTATAGTTTGATACAAACAAATCTTTACTTAAAAAGAACTGTCTGTTTCAATATTTCCTTTCATATTCTCATTGCTGTAGAATAGAACATATTAATGTTCATATTTTAGAAATAGTGGCTTATTAAATTACTGAGCAACCCCAGTTCCTCAGTGTACCCCTGACAGAGCTCCCCATAGGTTTGCTTGGGGTTTTGTATCACAAGCTTTCCAAGGTCACACTGGTTTCTCACTAAGTGCCAGAGACTCTTCACATACAAAGAACTCTAATGAAATATGTAAAATCTGAGCTTTTCTTGCATTTATTTGTAAAAGGATTTTTAAAACTACATGCATGCTAAAAGTTTAACTTGAACAGCTACCTGCAAATTTTATTTAAGTTTTTAGTTCTCAGAGAAATAGAACTTCACACCAAAATTGTCATCTTAAACACCCTGATAATTAAAGCAGCCACTATGATGCATCACAGGGAACTTCTGGGTATTGCATATACTAATAGTGGCTAAAATCATCACTGCTACCTTGAGGATATTGCATTTAACTTGTCTTTCCACACTCTGAGGTTTGCAAACATTGAGCAGTACCACAGACTCACTGAGTCACAGACCACTAAATGCACTTCTGGTGTTTGCCACGAATTTCCCTGCTATTCAAAATAACCCTGCTGCCCAGCTCCCAGGTATGCTGTCAGCTATGCCTCGCTGGTTTTGAGGCAACCCAAGCCAGGTTAGCACTGGAGGCAGCAGCACAGCATCTTCACCCCTTGTGCAGCATCAGGGATGGGACACGGGGCTCTGTGTGCAGTGGTACCCACGGGATGCAGGTATTTTTTGCAAGGGTAAACAGTGTGCCAAGCCTTTGGTGGCTGCAACCCCACAGCAGAGATGGAGTCTGTGCTCCTGGGTCCTAGCCAGGATGGACAGAGACAACAGTGACACTTGCTTGGGAACAAGCAGGGTTTTCAAAAGGAGGGGCCCCAGCATCCTCACGGTGAAGTCACTCTGCTGATAGCCGGAAAAATACAGCCATCACCAAAGGAAGCCAACAGGCTTTCAACTGACCCAAAATAGACCTAAATGAAATAATTACAGGGCTGCTTTCCAAATTCAAATCAGATTAGATGTGAAGTAAAACAGTGGAGGAAAGTGAAGTCTATTTCAGATTTCATTGTCAGGCAAAATGTTCCCAATCTGGCATTTGCATGAGCAAACAAGCAGTGAGCTGGATCTGCTTGCCATGGTTTAGGGTCTTTGGATGGAAAGGAGATTTCACAGCTTGAATTTGCCACTCATGCCACCAGTTGAGATTGGGAGTAATTAACTAAGGGAAGGCTGAAAATGGCTCAGCATGGCCGTTCCTCTGCTCATCCCCCCAGCCCACTGGTGGCACACAACAGTTCTCCCCTCCCTTAATTAAAGCAGCAAAAATATCCTGTTGTTTAGATCCTGCACCTCTGCAGCCCCGGATATGTGAACTGATGAAGGAACACCCACAAGTGATGCCAACTATGACAGACATGTGGGTGTTTCTGAGAAATGGCACTAAAGTGTTCTGATGTCTCACCTTCCCAACTGAGACCCTGTGGCACCGATTTTAAAGCAGCAGGAGGAATCCCTACAGCTCCTGTGGTCCAGCCACCACAGAGCTTGAGAGGAGCACAGTGAAGGAACCACTATGGACACAAACCTTGTGTGGCCAAAGCAGGCTTGTCCTCAGAGTCCTACATTGAATTGCTACTGAAACAGCCATTTTTTTCATCATCCATCCCAGAAACTTTCCTCTCAGTCTCCTCTCCGACCCTGAACTTTCCATCTGAACAGAGATGTTACCAGTGTGCTTACAGCCCACACTCCCAGCCTCACTCCAGAGCCTGCCTTAAGCTGCCCAATGTCTGCCAGACAGGCAGAAGGTCAGCATGTCTCCAGGGTGGTATTCCTGCCCATCCAAGGGGGTCCAAAACTAACAGAGCAGGCAGGAGCCGGGAGCAAAGAGAGGCCAAACAGAGCTGGTGCTGCATAGCCCGGAGCCTGGTTCTCTTCTGAATGAGAACATTTGCTGCCTAATACAGCTTAATCAGATCTCTCCATGCTCAAATAAGAAGCAGATGGACAGGTGTCCACCTGGCTGCTTGATAATGAATCCAGAGAAAACGTCTAGGAAAACATGCCCTGAAGGACGCTGACATGTAAAAGTCCTCCCCGGGCTCCAGACTGCAACCCACCAGATCTGCTTCTCTTCCATCCCCTCAGCCTTTTGCTCACCTGGTGCTGGTGGCTCTGCATGTGCATCTGAAGGTGCTGGATGTCCCTCTGCCAGCTGGCTGCTGTCCCCTCCCCGGTCTCAGCTGTCAGCAGGTACACGCCGAGCCCACGGTGGTGCTTCACGCTGTAGTCCCCCGAGTGCACGGTGTGAGACAGGGTGCTCCACGAGTCCGGCTCCCTGGCTCCCTCCCTGCAAAACAAGGGTGGGTCACTGGGCAGGCAAGCAGGGATCCTGCACAGCAGGACACACGTGCTCCCTGGACAGACAGCTAATCATGGGAGCACAGAGCATGGCACTGGCTCCAGGGCCAGACAGGCACATAAACACACACTCCTCAGTCTTGAAAATAATGTAATTTAGCGCTAATGCCAGCCACAAGCTTTATTTCACAACGTCATTTTCAGGTAGAGATCAGTGGTTTTTACCCCAGACTATGACAACTGCATTTTAAATCAAATTTATCACAGGTGAAGATCACCAAAGCAGCTATCACAGAACAGCAGACATCTGAAAGGCAGAAGAGCAAAGGGATATGTTGGAAGGAATGAAAACTATCATGGTACAACTTGTACACCAAAGCCAGCACACTGCCCACAAACATCCAACAGCCATCAAATTGCAGCAATTTTTTCACTCCTGAAATGAAGTGAACTTGCTCTATGAAACTGCCTCTGTGCAAGATGTTCTCAGTGTAGTGAGACACACTGTTTTTGTGCAGCACTATCATGGGCTTTCTTTTTACCAATCCAAAGGAAAGAAAGGAAAAAAGATGCTGTAGATCAGAATGAAAAATAACCTATTAGTGGGTAAATGTAGTCAATAAAAATTTCTATTTCAGTCACCTCTTTTTAAAAATCAAACACTGATTTTGCACCACTCAAAGCAGTAATTCCTCAGGTCTCATCAAGCTGCACAGCAGCTACACAGGCCCACTGAGGTGGTGAGCAAACACTGAGGTGTTCAACACCTTCAGGTTCACAGATTTCATTTTGAATCAGAACTGATTCAGGAAATCAAAATCTTTTGTGATCATCCCAGAGAGCAGCTTGTGCACCACCCCACCAAGCCCTGCATCCCCCAGGAGAGATATGGAACCAAACCACAGGAATGTTGCACCAACAGGGGATGACACTGACCTGCTCAGGGGTGCAAGAAATAAGAATTTCCCTGTCTTCCTTCTGCCAAGGATGCATCTATTGACACCCAGCCCGACCTATGAGCTAGGGTGGGGACAGGACTAGATGACCTTTAAAGGTCCCTTCCACACCAAACTTCTCTGTGATTCTGTGACATCCCCTCCCTCTTGCAGAGACTAACCATTTTCAGATCTCTCTTTCCTGCTCAGTTACAAGTTTCCTTGGAAGGGGCAAAGCTATGATTTTATTTTTAAATAATTAGGAATTCAAGAAGGCACATAAACACAAATGCATGCCATCAACCAGGTAAAACTACACATAGTTTTCAGAATCTTTGCCGAGAGGTCTTGCTTTAACATTCACAAACCTTTCTTATGGGCAAGGCCCTCCAGCAAGCCACAGGGCTATCTCTCTGGGAAGCCAAGCAATCTAGAAAGCAAAGTCATAACGAGCAAATACCACAATCAGCAACAGGAATGGGCAGAGCAGGGTGGGGAAACGGTCAAATGGTGCATGAGAGACAGAGAAAGCTGTGCAAGCAATGCTGGTGGCAATGGCTGCCCCTGCTCTGCCCCAGCACAGCCACCCACCCCCGTGACTCATTTTGGGTTAAATCTGCAAGGAAATTCAGACAAAACATTACTATGGCTTCCACCATTCATCACCATTTATCTCAGTCATGACTTGACTTCAGCAGAATTACACTTGATTTAAGCAGAATCAATATTTCCACAGAGAAACAGAAGGAAGCAGCCAGCTTCTGGCAGTGATTGGTATAAATCCACAGAGGCACTGAAGTCAACTGAGCCATTACAAGTAACTAAAGAAATGACCTTCCTTTATCAAGGAAACACAGACATTTCTGTCTGGAGTGTTTTTCTCTTCAGCTGTCATGTATGAGAAACTGCTGTACTCAGGGCCACTCTCAGAGTACAACGAGGCAGTCAGCACAAAGTCACCCACTCAGGGGACAACAGCAGCCGGATTAAAGAACTGTGCCTGATCAATCTGCTCCACTTTCTCAGCAGCTTCAAGGACCCTCACAGGCATCTCCAAATCAGCACCCACAAAGCTGCCTGCATGACTTGGTGAGCCTCAAAGGGCACTCAGCAACTTCAAAAAGCCCAGTCTGGAGCAAGATGACAGGCAGAGTCCCCTGCAACACTGCGAGTGCGTCCACCCCTCCAGCAATCCGCAACCTTCACACGGCCCACATGGATCAAATAGTCACTTCTGCTTACAAAGAGAACAGTTTCTTTTCATATTCAAGCTGTCACACTTTTTGAAAAGCTTTAAACCTTTTGAGAAAGCAAGAAGTTTCTTACATCCAGCCAAGTACAAACTCCAAGGTCTCATTTTTAGTAGCAGTCACCTTCGTTACACAAAATTAAGCAGTGAGATAGTGAATGGTTCAATCTATTGCCTACTTCAAACCATCTCTTTCATATTCTGCTCCATCCCAGCACTAATGGTCTGAAGCAGAGAGGAAAAATGAGAATTCACAAGCATTAACTCATTTTCCCACCACTGTTCCTGTTGTTCAGGCAATCACCTCCAAGGCCATTTGAGAAGACACCCCTGCTCATTTGCCCTCATACACTGAGCTTCACTGTTTGTGCCTTTCCTGCACGTCTCATTGCAAGTCCTGGGTTTTACTGAGAGATGATAAAAACACACTTTCTTCCAGGAAAAAAGCTTTGCCGTTACACATTTTGTATTTCCTGGCTGTGAAAGATGCTTATTTTGTCCAGACTTGGAATTTTTGCAGTGGTTGCATAGGAGTGCATATCCAAGCTGCTCTACTAGGAGATAAAAACAGATATGCAAATACTTACTGAAGATTTATTAGCAAAAATATGTATACAAACTCCAGCCTTCAAGAAGTTCGAAAATCTGCTTTTGTTCAACACAAAAATCCAGTTTGCTGCACTTTGCCAGAAACAACGGAAATCTGTCTTCTTATGAGATTTAACCATCCTGGGTCAAATCTTTCTCATCTTCCCTTTTCAACAGTTTCCTATCAAAATACATAACAGATACCAGTGAACTGAACATTTTGTAAGAAACATTTCTGAGCTCAATTTTCACAAAAGAAACTATCTTGGTAAAAATAGCAAGGACTGCCTGAGAAGGCTGATAGTGTTCACTAGCTCTACTCTGCATAACTATGCCATGGCCCACGGAAAAACCTGGAAGAAGTCCTCCAGCTGTGGTCAGTCTTCTGTCCCACGAAGGCAAACCCAGAAGGGAAATTTTTGGTTGAAATGAAGAACAGACTTACCGGCCCACCCTTCATCTGCAGAAAGGTGGCTTAAGGAAGGATGACAACTTCAGACAGAGAGAGAGGAGAAGCAAAAACACTTCAAAATACCCTCAGGCCATGTCCTGCTCCATCTAGGAGCTGATTAGATTGCTGAAACTACAGGATCACTTCCTGCCCATCTGGCATGTAACACAAGATAATATATCATAGAATCACAGAATGGTTTGGGCTGGAAGGGACCTTAAAGATCATCTAGCTCCAACACGGGTAGGGACACCTTCTGCCACACCAGGCTGCTCCAAGCTGAGATGGGATAATAAGTAGGAAGTGTTTTTTATTTAAACCTCCCAGCACCGCCCAAGTAGACTGGTTGCTTTTCAAGGCAGAGCTGTACTGTACTCATGTGCTGACTCTCTCCTCATCTGGCAGGGGAGCAGAGAGTGAGCAGCGGAAAAAGGAAAGGAAAGCCCACACTGCACAGCTCCTGGCTTCCGGCAGATATGGGTGAGAGATTTTTAAGAAGAGGGAAGATAAGTGAGAAAAGAAGAACAAAAAATACCCAAAAAACCCCAACAAACCACCACCTGATCAAAGCTCTGCCTGCCCTCAAAACCTGCAGAAACTGCTCAGTAACAAGGGTCTGCAATTCAAGGTGCCAGTGCTCACAGCAGGCGTGTTTTCCAGTACCAAGAGACAAGGTTTGAGCTGGAAGGGAGAGGAAGAGGAGGGAGGCAGAGATCAGAAGATGAATGAAAAAGCCTCAGTGAGTTAAGCAAAACTTAATGTTAGCAAGATTTATCCCAGTGTTTCACAAAGGGGTGAGGAAGGCAGTGTGGGAACTCAAGGTGTTATTTCCTGGGGATATCCCCTCCAGATTTCTGAGCTGAAACAAAACAAGCTCAGTAGCATTGCCAGCTCTTAGGAACTTACTGCAAGCCTGACAACAGCTTGGGTTTATTCTGAAAGCACCAGCCCCTAGATCCATGTGGCAAAGAAAGAACAAGAAAAAGGAAAAATCAATTAAGAAAAAAATTAAACAAAGCCCCTACCATTATGGCTGCATGAAAAGCTAGGAAAAGGCCAGAATTTATATGCCCTTATCTGTAAGCTAAATAAAAACGTAACTAAATTGAATTCTAATCTTACATTCTTTTTATTACTGTTATTATGGTATCACACGGAAAATACCAGATCAGACAGACAGTGATCTGGGATAAACAAGGAATGGTGCCCACAGGGATAGGATTGGTGGTGATTGTGCAACATGTCCACAGCACAGGCAATTTAAAACAAGCCAACAATCCCTCCTGGGAAAACCCAGCACCCACACTCAATGCAGTCACCAGCATTTAAACCAATCTTAGAAATCTGACCAAACAGAACTTCAGTGTTATTTGCAGAAGTGTTGGGGTAATGGAGGCTTTGTATCTGTATAATCAACTTTGCACCCAAAATCTTCAGTGATATACAAAACAACAATGCACACAAACACTTTCTTGTTCCTCCTTGTTTTTAAAACCATCCATATACATTGTGTATGAGACCCAGAAAACACATGTAACTAGCATGTGCTGGAATGGGTTAAAATAAATCAACGATTTTCAAATTTGAAAAAGGTTTAATAAACACAGAATTCATACTTCAGGTGTTTCCAAGTGTTCCAAATGCCCCAGGAAAGTAGAAAAAAAAGTACGTTTCTCATATAAGAAAAACCTATGTATTGCTCACTAATTTAAATAGTTTTGATGTTGAAAGAAAGAGTTAAAAGTTCATCTGATGTAGAAATAATG